TCCCTACAAGACATTTGGGTTAGTGCCTATTGAGTAAATTGGAAATGTGTTCAGCCCAGTGATTTTTAAGTCCTTCCTGGTCTTTGATAAGGCTCAACCCATCAGATGACAAGGGGAGCATCCTGATTTAGAAGCACAACCCCTATGCTCCATACAATCAGGGACATTACAATATTAATTACAAAATACAGGTAGTCCTTGACTTATGACCACAATGAAGACCGTAATTCCTGTTGCTGAGTGAGACATTTGTTAAGTGAATTTTGCCCCATTTTATGACCTTTCTTGTCATATTTGTTAAGTGAATCCCTGCGGTTGTTAACTCAGTAACATGGCTGTTAAGTGAGTTGGGCTTCCCAATTGACTTTGCTTGTCAGAAGTTCACAGAAGGAGATCACATGACCCCAGGACACTGCAACCATCATAAATATGAGTCAGTTACCAAGTGTCTGAATTTTGATCACGTGACCATGAGGCTGTTGCAATGGTCATAAGTGAAAAACGGTCATAAGTCACTTTTTTCAGTGCCTGTGTAACTTTGGTCACTGAATGACCTATTGTAATTCGAGGACTACCTGTACTAAAATCAAGTATTATAATTCTACTAAAATCAAGAGAAATTTAAAATCACTCTTAACAAAATCCAAATCAATTCAGCTAACAGTGCAAAGTTTGGCGTATTGCTTAAGTTTTCATCGTTTTCCTAACTTCTGGGAGTAAGGGACCCTAGGCACCTCCATAGAGAGTGCATTCCAGCCACAGAGGAAAAGGCTCTTTGCCACGGACTAGACAGCCAAGCCTCTGGCAGCTGACAACTCTTTGAAACGGCTTCTTTTTCTGATCCAAGTAACAGGTATATAGTAAAAATGCTGATGTCTCAGATAGTGAAGTCCTAAGTTAGAGCTTTGAAGGTCATACAGTAGGAAGTTGGCAACAGTCTGCAGATCTTTCAGTGTAACCATCATATGATGCATGGACTTTGTACCAGTAAGCAGCCCTGCTGCCACATTTTGTATCCATTGCAATTTCCATATGCAGATAATGTGCATAGATGCTTTAAGGCCAGCTTCACATTAAGGCACAACCAGTAGTCAAGGCATAGTGTAAGTAAAGGATACAGTAATTAACTTCCCCAAAGCCACACCAGCTTAGAAAAAGCCAAAGTTGCAACTAATCTGATGTTTAAAAATAGGACTTCTAGGTTGGGTGGGTGGGGCAACTTCACTCTCATGTTGATTTCCTAGTTACCGTAGTCTGCAAGCTTAAATGAAAAGACACCAGGCATCAGCCTGACTGCCTTTCTTTGCAGCTTCAACATTTCCTTCCAGGCCATGCTCCAGTCCTCATTCTCCGCCATCCCTCTGCATACTTATCTGGAAGTCATAGGGGATTGATTGTTTCATTTATGCATGTTACTCATTTACTGTCCAGCAAGTCTCAGCAAATAGTGTTCATTATATTTCAGGCACCATTGCATGAATTTATTTATTTATTTATTTATTAGTCATATTTCTATGCTGCCCACTCTCCGAGGACTCTGGGCGGCTTACACCAAAGACAGTATGCTAAATAGCATATTGCCCCCTAACAATCTAGGTCCTCATTTTACCCACCTCAGAAGGATGGAAGGCTGAGTCAACCTTGAGCCGGAATGATGATGATGCAGATGCAGCTAACCGGGGACCAGGAGGGAGGGGGGGAGACTTGTCTAGATCAGTTGGAAATGACCAATAGGAACCTCTCAAATCTCACTTATTCCTGGTCACCTGACTTGCCTCCAACATGATGGATGGCAAATGATAATAGATTTTAAATTTCTTAGAGTTGTCTTTGATTCTTCTTAAAGGGAAAATACTAGTAAAGCTCAGTTGACTAAAGTCTCTCTCCTTCATGGGCTGGGGAAGAGAAGAAAACATCTGCGGTGCGGGGGATGGCAGAAAACCCTAATCTTTTTTGTTATCATTAAGTTTGCTAACCTTGCTGCAAAAATCTGTAACATGGCTAGAAGGCAGCAAGAGATACAGACGGTTGCCACTGACTGATCATCCAAGCATTCTCTGTCCAGATCAGGTAGCCCTAATATCCAGCATAATACTTGGATCAAGCTGTGGAGGCTTTACTTGGCAGTTGCAGTTTGTGTAGCAGCATTTTTTTTGTTTTGTTTTGTTTTATTGACTTTGACTCCTAGTGACAGCCTGGATAAGTTTGTGCTGTTTTCTTGGTAATGTTTTCGGAAGTGGCTTGCCATGACCTCTCTGAAAGAGGCTGGGAGAGAATGACTGGCCCAAGTAGAGGCAGTTTACTCACAAGGAAGCAAGAACAAAGTTTCTCTTTTGCAAATATACAGAGTCCAAAAGTGACTTAATAAACATATTTTGGGCAGTCAGATATAACTGAGTCATAGCCACAAAAGGAGCAAGCCAACCAAAAACAAAAGCAATGGGTCATGAGTACATTTCTATAGTAGGAAATAGAAAAAGCCTGACAGGATTAAGATGTTTGCTTCTTCAGCAGCAGCTAATAAGCACTCAAGGCACTGCAGTAGGAAAATGTCAAGCCATGTTTGGGTAAAAGGAAAACAAGGCTTTTTAGGAAATGGGGTGGGGGGAGAATTCATTAAAAAAATTCCTACTCAGAGGCAAAAGTTGTCATGGGAACTAACTAAAAACCCAGAGGCTTATACAGTGTAAGTGCACCTGTAAATACAAACCCTAAAATTGAGTGCCTTTTCAAAAAGATGTGCTGGTTTTATGCTAGCATAAAGGCACTCAATTGTCCCAAACCCCAAGATTTCTGTCACTGCTCCAAAATGTGTATTTGCAAATTCAACTGGAGTTTCTATATAATATTCCCAAAGGAATAAATAACATTCCTAAATAAATAATATTCCTAAGAGAACCCTAACTGTAACTATAAAGGAATAGTATATTCATTCAAAATCTTTACCAAAGTACTATCTTCCAAACTCCAAGATTTTATGCTGGCAAGATGTGACTAAGCAACATATACACCCTAAAAGCAACATAGGCATAGATGTTAAAAGATAACAACAAAGAATTTACTGTATTGTTCCACAAACAATACTCATAGCCATCCGGATAACTGTTCCTCTGGTTAGTACTCCCCAAATTCCAAGCCTAAGTTTGATACCTGATTCGATTTAGTTCCATTCCATTATTCTTAATGAACATAAATAAAAAAAATCAAAAATGAATATAAAGATTAGTCCCTGCACTTTTCTTGGCAAAAGTTTGCCATGGCCTTCTTAGGTTGAGAGACAATGAATAGAATGTATCATAGATGTGTGGAAATCAAATGTCTGATATTTTATATTTCATGAATAATCAACAGGTTTTTTTTAATAATTTGAAGAATATCTGGTAAAATATTTTGCCTGAGTAGCCATACTGGAAAATGTCAGGGAAGTGTATTTATTTTGAACCCAACTTGCTGATGGATGCCATCATGCTAATTTGATATTAAACTGCTACAAGGCCAGCAAAACCAGATGTTTGCTTATCTACCTTTTCATTTAAAGGTACCTCTCATTTATATTACAAGAACACTGACCAAGTTCAGAGTCTCTGCCATTAGATGCTTTGCAAACATGGAGTGCATTAACCCTAAACTGCCTGAGTAAATAAGAGCAATCACTTTGAAGAAATGATCCTATTATCTTCAGCATTGAGGAAATCAATGAATGGTGGGAACTTACACATTTTCTCATCGAGTTGTAAGGGTAGGAAATGTAACCTGTTACCTGTGCTACAGCCCCCATCCCCACTCATGCAACACAACCTGTTTTTTTTTTTTCATTCATTTGAACAATAATTTATATAGGAAGATGCATAATAAAAGTAGTATTTATTCTTTATTGGGTAATTTGGGGACTTACATAAATGTTCCTTTAAAAAATTAGAAGTAGACAAATATAATACATTATTTTGTTTGGAGGGATGTCCCTTTAGGGAAAAAAAAATAATCTGGGGAATAAAGAGCATCCCAAATAGTGAAAGGCAATAATTCTGTTTGTAGTGTGATAAATAGGAGTTATGCTAGCCAAGACAGCCAATTTGCAAACTAATGAGCAATAGCAATAACACTTAAACTTATATACCACTTTATAGTGCTTTACAGCCCTCTCTAAGTGGGTTTACAGAGTCAGCATATTACCCCCAACAATCTGGGTCCTTATTTCATCGTCCTCGGAAGGATAGAAGGCTGAGTCAGCCTAGAGCTGGTGAGGATCAAACTCCTGGCTATGGGCAGAGTTAGCCTGCAGTACTACATTGTAACCATCATGCTACCATGGCTCTTAAGCCACCATGTTCTTGAAGTTTGAAAAGTGTCCAAAATTTCAATGGCATCCCATTACCTTATTATCCCATAACGTGATTCATTGATACGAAAGTAGGTGAAAATATGAGTGGTTCCCAAAACTGAGTGAGAAATATGTAAGAATTTCCCCACAAAAAGAGCATGTTGATGGAAAACAAACGTTTTCAGCATTAAAACTGTCAGTCACACATAGCACCTCCTAAGTTATTATTTACATATTATCTTTCTATTAAATTTGAGCACTCAAAGCTGATAACACTCAGAACAACGTTAAATATGAAATATTAAAAATCAAGGCATAAAACAAAAGAATGCTTCAATTAGCAACTAGAAACCTGGGCAAAGAGATATGATTTGATTGCTCTTCTGAAGGTAGAGAACAAAGATGAGTGCTGCTGAACTGCATTCTGCAGCCTAAGAGGAATGCAAGAAAAAGTCTTCTCCATGTGCCAGGAGAACAGAAACTTCTTCAGCAGGCCTTTCTTTCAGATTTTAATGCCCAAGCAAGTTCATAATTAGAGAGGTAATCCCTCACAGGGTTGGATTCTAAGCCATTTGGGGGCTTAAAGGTTAATACCAACATCTAAAATTGTGCCCAGTAAATAATTGTTTAATACAATTATTGTTTGATTCCTTTATTTTGTATGAATTAGTCTAGTGGCTGAATTTAACACCAGTTTTTATTTCCAGATGCTTTTCAACAATAGTTGTACACACCGTATGCTGCAGTAGTTGAGGGAGAATGTAGCCATGGCATCGATAACCATTGCCTAAACTAATTAGCTCAGGATCCATTAGCCAGCAGCCATTAGTTTATCTACAATTGGGCAAACATGTTCCCCAACTTTATCTCCATCTGAGAATCTGATGAAGAAAATCAAGAAAAAATTAACTTTAGGCCCATTCTTCCAAGGAAAATGCCATGCATCCAAAACACACTGAATTTTGAATCCTAGATCAAGTTACTTCTTAAGAAAAGCAGCTCTGTATTGTCTGGATTCAGTTTCACTTTAGTTTCCTTCATCTGATCCCTTACTAGGCTTGGCTATATTAAAAAATAGCAACTGTTTTTTTGCACCTAGATGGCAAGCAGCAGTATAATTAGATATTATTAATATATTTATAATATCAATTAATGATGAAGTGCATGTGAGAGTGAACAAAGCATGGTTACAATGGAAGGAAATCATTGGAGTGCTCTGCGATTGATGCATGCCAATCTAAGGTATAAAAAACAATGGTATGTCCAGTAGCTGTATGTGGCACCAAGTGCTAGCCAATCTCCAAATGCAATGAGTGCTTTTTACACACCACACCATGGAGATGTTCATGCTTCATTGGTCATTAGGTATTTTTCTTCTTGACCTTGTCAGCAATGATACAGTATTGTATCATTGCTGCAAATGGGCGTTGTGCCAATACTGAAAAAATGTGACAGAAATTCCTACAGTGGTATGACCATCTCCTATGATCAGTACCCTAGAGTGCTGTCTGCATCACTTTCCACTTTAACACAGATGGTTAACACCCACATGGAAGGTCAAAGCAAAGATGGCAAGACACAATAAAAACAGACATGAAAATTGATCAGTTGGGCCCAGATGCTATGTTTGATTGTGCAATATGTTAGTTGATCCAAAAAGTGACCTGTGGGAATAGCACTAGGAAGATAATTTATGATACCTCACTCCAAAATTCTGAATGATCTCCCCAGCATTCATGCAAATGTTGAATAACACGGGACAGAATAGAAACCTTTGGAAAACCAAACATGTGTTTTGTAAACGATCAGTAGTTCCCCCTCCCCACATGTCATATTCCATTCTTAACATGGCCCAGAACAATTGTGTAACAGTGCCCAAATCTTAACCCTTCTTGATAATCCAAAAGGATACCATAGTTGATGAGAACCAGCTTGGTTGAGAGCATCAAGAAGTCTTAAAGAATTATCCAAGTTGCATCCTCAGAGCAGGATTTCTCCAGGAAGCTGCTAAATTGACTGGTGTGGCTTAACCATCATAATATGACTAAAACCTGGTTGAAATGGGTCTAGATTACTAGTAGCATCCATTTTCTAAGCAGGCCAGGAAAAATCTGCCTTTTGAAAGAGAGCTTTGAAAGCTTTCATTCTCAAAAAAGTGTGCATTTAACATTTCTTTAAAACTCTAAACCTATGCAAAAGTTGCAGAAGTATGACACAACTTTTTCAAAACTAGGCTTCCAGGTGAGCCTGCTAAACAGTATTGCCTAGACTTGCAGAGTTGAGGTTTCAAGAACCACGTTCATTTCAGACAATCATGCTCTTGTGAAATTTGACGCCTCTCCATTTCCATGTGAAGGGTGAAAAGAAAAAGAAAAAAAGAATGGCAGTGAAAAGAATAGGCTCATACTTACACATAGCCAGGAGATACTGGGCTGATTCATCCACTCTAGACTGCCAACAACATAGGCCCTTGAGTTGAATAGCATGTCACACCTTGAAATTCCACCTGGTTGCTGTAAACTTAAGGTGAAAATGCTATTTTAGCACCAATTCAACTAAAGATAACTTGAGATTGTCATGTACATGAGCTGACAGCATTGGGATTTTTGTCCCTTGGTTAGTAGCCTGAGAGGAAGAACTCTACAGCCAATCATGTTTTCAAAAGCAGGAGATCGACATGACGATTTGCTCTACCATTGTTTCAATTAGCCCAGAGAGAACCAACATAGTACTGGTGGGTGCTTTGGTGCTTGGCCAAGCCACCTGCCTCATTTTATTTTATTACAATTCAAAAGAAAAATGGAAGAGAAGGATGTGGCATACTGCAGTGCAAAGGATCTGCTTTTAGTATCATTTATGTATCAGAATACATTTTAACAGAATAACAGCTGGAAGGGACCTTGGGGGTCTTCTAGTCCAACCCCTTGCTCAGGCAGGAAACTGTATAACATTACAGATATAATATTGAGGGTCGTTAGAGGAGTGGTAAATTACTAGTAAAGGCAGGGCTGGCAGACCTGGTTTTTAAACATCTAAACTGCTAGAGGGCATCAAATTTATTTATTTATGTATTTTATATCCCACCTTCATTGTTTTTATAAACAAAGCAGCAAACATATCTACTACTCCTATTTTCCTCATAATAACCCTGTGAAGTGAGTTCAGCTGAGAGAGTGACTGGCTCAAGTTCACTCAGCTACCTTTATGCCTAAAGCGGATTAAAACTCATTGTCTCCCGATTCCTAGCCTGGTGCCTTAATTACTAGACCAAACTGGCTCTTATGTAGGTGGTCCTCAATTTATGACATTCAATTCTAAAATTTCTGTTCCGAAGTGAGGCAGCTAATGATTTGCACTATTTTACAATCTTTTTAGCCATAGTTGTTAAGCAAATCACTGCAGTTAAGTGAACCATGTGGTCGTTATGCGAATCTGGCTTTCCTCATTGACTTTGCTGGTCGAAAGCCAGCTGGTAAGGTTACAAATGGTGGTCACATGACCCCGGCAACTTGTCATAAATACATGCCAGTTGGCAAGTGTCCAAAGTTTGATCACATGACCACAGGGATGTTGCAATGGTTGTAAGTATGAAAACTGCTCATAAGTCATTTTTTTTTTCAATACTGTTGCATTTTCAAAGGTGACTAAATGAACGGTCATAAATCAAGGACTGTTCTATTCACGGAACAAAGGCTAAAGAAGGGAGGCGAGGCAGGATAAACACTTCACAACATGTTTATTGGCTAACAATAACAGCTAACAGTGACTCGCTCTGGTTAGCTAACTACCATGGAGAGCGAGCAGCTTTTGAGGCACTGACAGCTCTTTTATATTCAGCTATCAGAAGCTGGGCCAATCAGGAGCCACCAATTTCCTGCCGGCTACCTGCCAGCACACGGACCAATCGGCTGCTCTATTGACCGCTCGTGCTTGTCGTCCGGACGTAACAAGGACCATCTGTACACAAAATGCTAACTAATTTTATTTAGTGGCTATCTTGATTTTGTGCAACCAAATCTAGTAGCCCTAGTAAATTAGGTGCCCAAGGTAGCCATTTTGTCACCAGAGAATTCTCATAGGAGCCATTTTGTGGAAGGATCCATGCTATAGTCTGTTTACTGGCTCCATATGCTTATAATTCCTAACAATTTTGAAGATAAGAGACTTCTTTCTTCAGAGGATTGGCCCCCATTTACAAAATAATTGAGAATTAAGCAACCACTAGCATATTATGAATAAACTCATTGTAAAGAATAGTCTTTATGATTATGATCTTGATTAATGGGTTAAAATAAATTCATATTCTGTATTAGTAAATGTTCAGTTATGCAAAGATTTTTTCTTTATACAAAAAAATGTACATTTTGTATACAAAAAATATACATTTTTTCAATTATGCAAATATTTTTTTACAGATGACAATTTTTTTTCTATTTGTGAGGCTGACAGAGTGTGCTTTGACTTAGGAGAAAGGATGTACGTGTTAGATTCCAAAGTCTGTTAAAATATTAATTACAATTCACGTGTGCCTGCCAAAGGCAGCTGAACAAAGAGCTACAACTTGGTCCCATGACTTCTGGCCACTCAACCCGTGTTTAAGTACAAAGCTCAAACTGCTAGCTTGGAACCCAACGGAAGACACTCAGCCAGATCATACGTCTCTTTCCAATAAACATCGAGTAGACATGATTAAGATAGCAGCCAGCAACAGATTAAGAGCCCTTTTAAACTGCATGTTATAAACTGCAGTAATCAAAAACTGCAGTCCAGTTTCCTTCTTCCAGAGATTCCCTAGAAACAGATAATTACAATCTGTTTACCTGCAGTCAGGCTGAACCTCTAACACACTCCTTAGCCTGTCTAGACATGGGGGGAGGGGGGGTTTTCCCCCAACTTTGGCCACTTTAAAGTCTGTGGACTTCAACTCCCAGAATTCCTCAGCCAGCATGTCTCCTCAGAAAGACCTTTGCTTAATTTAACAGTAACAAAGTTGGAAGGGACCTTGGAGGTCATCTAGTCCAACCCCCTGCTCACGCAGGAGACCTGTACTAGGGATTTGAACTGCTGAACTGCTGATCTTTCTGATTGACTGTAGCGCTCTACAAAGGTTTCTGTCCCAGGAATAATTGCCAGTGATGTCAGTCTCTGAAGGAGCATAGCTATAATTTTTTGAGAATTTTTGGGAAGCAACTGTGAAACTCAACAGTGCTTGCTTCTGACAATGTGTGTTTTATTTGTGAAAGAATTGAGCTTAAATCAAAAGAAAACAAATTGCCAGCTCAAATTTAACCATTAGCTTTTAAATCACATTGTAACATGTTCTTGCAAGGAAGTGCTATGGTTTGTATTGTGAGCATGATGTCAAAGCTGAAGATTGATAAGACAAATTGCAGTAAAACTTGAATTCCTTAGTCAGAGCAAGGAAGACCCATCTGGTATCCTGTGTATCAGATGATACCAAAATCTCAGAGATATCACTTCTTTTCCTCAGTTCAGAAACATTTGCTATAATGGCATAGATAGACCAATGTTTTTCAATCTTGGCAACTTCAAGATTTGGGAATTTCAACTCTAACAATTCTCCGCCAGATTCCCAGACTATCCAAGTCTGGGAGTTGAAATCCACAGATCTCAAAAGGTGCTAAGGTTGAAAAACACTGGAGTGGGGAATATGGAGATAGATTTGAAGAAGCAAGGCAAAAGCAGTAATGCACTAAGCGCAAGTTTAGCCCCAAAAAGAAGATGAAAACAAAAAACAAATTATTGGGATTGCCATGCCTTGATTCTCTTGCCTATTGGCAGGGGTTGGAGGGCAAATGTTTAGAGAGAGAGAAAATCTCTGTCAAACTTCCAAGATACTGTTATTATACCTTGCAACAATAAAGTGGAGTTTCAGTAGTCTTTGTCAAATGTTTCCTGCCTGGCCTACCTCAAATCTTCACTCGTTTTTTTTTAAAAAGCATTTACTGTATTATGCCGCATTTTCTATATCCCTTCTTCTGCCTTCTTAGATATCATTTGATGCAGTCCCTTTATATATTTTCATTTTATGGGAAGCACAATTTGAACCGGAAAAATAACCACCCTTTTTTACCCACTCTTAATTTAAAAATTTGTCTAGATTGTTCACTGACTCAATCAGTCATAAAATAATCCATAATATTCTTTAATGCAGGTGGTTCTCCTTATTTTGATCAAACCTTGGAGTCCAGGAGAAAAGTATTTTCTGTTTGGCTTCTGTTCTCTGCAAACACCCCACCCCCCACTCCCGTGAGATCCACTCCCACCCTTTTGGCCTTCTGAAAAGGCGAAGACCTGGCTCTGCCAATTGGCCTGGGCCCCCAAAAGGAGCATGTAATTCTAAAGGTGGCTAATGGATTAGATAAGACCCACCTCCCATTGATTCCCCAGTACGCATCCTGGTTAATTTAAATTTAATGTGTTCATTGTTTTAAAGTTTTATATTGGCATTTCTATTGATTAATTGTAAGCCACATTAAAATGCAAGCCTTGGCGAGATAGGTGGCATATAAATTTAATAAAACAAACAAAGAAAAGTAGACATCAAGACCAATTTAACAAAGGCATGAAAAAAGCATACTTTTTGCAAAGTACAAAAATCCTCTGCCATTTTGTGCCTATGCAAAACACATACACACACACACATACACACACACACACATCCAAAACTTCAGATAAACTTCACCTGGTTGGATACTGTGTATTTTCGGGCTATGAATATTAAGATCATGGGTAAAAATAGCCACCTGTCAGGCTACCAGATTTGGTCGAAAAAAATTTGGATAACCACTAAAGAGCAGCATAGAATCAGCAGCTTCCTGACACTCTTTCCTGCCCCTCTAGTTAGTCATCATACAGATTTGTGTGATCTGGATATGGTAGCTTAATTAGGAAAAAAAGAAATTATTACTGATTTTCTCTCACCTTTTGTACTTTTTCAAAAGAGCTAAGCGACCTTGATATAAAAATGAAAAGAAGAGAAATGCAAAGAAAACCCTCAATCATCTGCTGCAGTTAATAGGAAGTTAAGCAAACTGTGGAAGAGGAATTCTGTACTATCCACAGCTAATTGGAAACAAAATACATTTGGTACTGTTGCAATATTTTCAGGATCAGACTCAATAAAGATAATAGAAGTTAAAGCTTTAAATATATTTCTTTTTAATTATGATAGGCATTCTATATTCACTGAATATTCAAGGTAGAAGCGACGAGAATGGTGAGGGTGGCTCCTTATATATACAAGGGGTGGAGCTAGGAATGGGAGGGGTAAGTTATGAATACATTAAAGTCCAAAGAATAAGTTAACCTCTGATGTTCCATATATACATTATTTACACATTGGAGAATAAGGCATTTACATCTGACAAATCCCCCTCTAAATGCCGGTTCGTTACACAACACCAATTACATTCTGATTCAGGACAATATAATACATATAATTTAGAAGTTAAATATTTGTGTTGTTTAGAAGGTAAGGGTTTTGTTAATATGTCAGCTAATTGTTCAGAAGTATCGCAATGTATTGCTTTAATGAATCCGTCTTGAGACAGTTGTCTCACATGCTTAAACTTTATATCAATATGCCTGGACCTTTGTCCAATTGCATCGGATCTGGATATTTCAATGGCCGCTTTATTGTCTTCATGCATAATAAATGGTAAGGTGGGTTTCTTCCAAACATCAGTGATCAGATCATTGAACCATACAAGGTTATTTGCAGCTTTGGACAAACAAACATATTCCGCTTCTGTAGTAGAAGTGGCTACTAGTTCTTGTTTACCAGTATACCAGTAAACTGGACAATCATTCAATAGAAAAACATAACCAGAAGTACTCTTTCTGCATGATGTATCACCAGCCCAATCTGCATCAGCATAACAAGTAATTTTTGGTTCTCTGTCATTATTGGGTTCCAACATTAAACAAAAATCTAATGTACCCTTCAGATATCTTAGAATTCTTTTGACAGCTTCCCAATGATACAAGGTTGGTTTACTAACATATCTTGACAATAGATTGAGAGGTAATGCAATATCTGGCCTAGTCCAATTAGATATATAAAGGAGTGAACCTATAACTGATCTGTAAAATGTGTTGTCTTTAAACTCAGGGGAAGATTCATCAGTGTTTCTAAGAAAATCAGTTTGCATAGGGGTGTCACAGGTTTTAGCATTATTTAAGTTACATTTGTTTAGGAGTTCGATGATTTTATCTTTCTGTGTAAGTTTGAATCCCCTTTTAGTTTTGTTAATTTGCACACCAAGGTATTTATTCACTTTACCCAGAGATTTCAGTGAGAAGTGTTCATTTAACTTATTTACAAAGATTTCCCTGCTTTCTTTATGCTTTCCAATGTATAAAATATCGTCCACGTAAATTAATACAAATTCAATATGATCATTACTCTTTTTTACAAAGAAACAGTTATCAGCAGTGGTGGCGTTGAAATCCATGGTCTTAAGTACTTTTACCAAGCAATCGTACCATCTTTTGCCGGATTGCTTTAATCCGTACAGACTCTTATTTAATAACCAAATTTCGTTCTTATTAGTGTATTGACTGTGTGGTGCTCTTACATATATTTCCTTATCTAATTTTGCATGTAAGTATGCGGTCTGTATGTCATATTGGAATACGTCCAGATTGAGTGCAGATGCTACTACAAGGGCTGTTTTGACACTCTCTGTTCTCACTGTGGGTGAATATGTATCAGTATAGTCTTCTGGATATTTTTGTGCATAGCCTTGTGCAACTAGTCTAGCCTTGTATAAGGTATTGCCTCCTTCTAAGTTCTTAATTTTATAAATCCACCTGGTACCTATAATTGTTTTATCCTTAGGTGCGATCGCAGGTGTGAATACATTTAATCCTTGTAAACTTTCCATCTCTTTTTCCATAGCTAGTTCCCATTTTTCTCTTTCTTCATGTGGAAGTTTCAATACTTCTTCATATGTATTAGGTGTTATTTGTTCTCCATTCATATGCATTATGTAATCTTTGTATTTATTTGGTATTTGGTTTCTATTGTTTCTAATAGTTCTTTCAGGCTTGCTATGGTTATCATGCAAATATCTAGCTTCCTTTTTTGTTAATGTGTCTGTCTTTATTTTATGCTGACTATTAGTCCAAGTTTTGGTTTTGTTCTTACTTTTGTTAATATTTTGATTTTCTGTTGTTCCTTCCTCGCAAGATATCGTATCTTTACATTTATTAGGAAATATTTCATTAAGGTGCAATTTTGACCAATTGGCCTGTTCATGGAACACAGCTGTTCTGGATACTATAAATTTGTTATTACTATCAATAAATCTGTACCCTTTGGTTCCAGTTTCGTATCCCATGAATCTTAATCTCCTGGATACGTTTTCTCCCTTTCTCCTCAATTGTTTAGGTATGTGTACGTCTGCAGTGACTCCAAATATGTGCATGTGTGATAATTTGGGTTTTCTATTGTACATCACCTCATATGGTGTCTTATTCACAATACTGGACCAGGTTCTATTTTGAGTGTAATTCAAATAATGTAATGCCTCTGACCAAAATTGTTTGCCTAAACCAGCATCCTC